CTTATACGCCGGAAAATACGGTACTTTATTGTAATTATTTTGCTTACAAAAACATTTTATCTAAATTCACTTGCTGAAAGTAATAGTAGTATTTTAATGCTGCTCATGTCAACAGTATATCTCCTTCAGCTGTCAGTGTTCCAGGATAATTTGGCTAGCTTTTGCTTTCAGTACATCCAATTAAGCCATTTGTGAAGATTAGCTTTGACAACAAATATGCTTCAACTGTATTTCCTGATGTAAACATTTGAAAATAAATGTGTAGTAATGGTTCTTCATTTTTAGGAACTGAAGAAAGTGTCTGGTAAAAAGATCTTACAGATTCCTTTTGTTTTATATTATAGCATTGGAAAATGACTCCTGTAAATCTGTCTCCCTTCCCATCCTCCAGTCCCCCAAAATCTGCTGAGAAGAAATTTTAATTCTACATATTTACAGGAAAAAGTTATTTAGGAGAAAGGTATAGGAAAAAGTCATAACTCAGTGCTAGAAGACCTGTTTCACATGCCAAGTCTCCTATTTAATTCCCAGATCTCTAAACAGGGTTAGGGACAGCCACTGCATGAAACACTGGTCCATGCAGAGTCTGAGGTGCAAAATCTGTGGTCTTCCAGATGTTACTCCACTCCTATCCATTTGCATAGCTGGTAAGAGGAGAAATCTAACTACACCTGGAGTGCCTAGGTTCCTCATGCATGGTACAGACAGTTCTGAGGTGGATGGGCTTCTAATTCAGTATAAGTCAGTTTCATGAAATGGATATAGCACCGAAAGCTGTTATGGTTGAAAGCTTATACTAAATTAGGATTCTTGTCATGTGAACTCTCAAAATAAATTAGTGTGTGTGTGTGTGACAGCAGTACCCTTTTTCCTATGGTTGTGTGCATGTTCATGTTTTCATCAGTCTATTTATCAGTCAAGGAAGCTTATCCACATATGCAGTCACATCTGGACAGTCTAACTCAACAGGTATATTAACAATTGATTTCAACATAATTCAGAAGACTGTTGGGTATTGCCAAGACTGTTAGATGGTAGAAACCACTCTGTGCTTTGGACTTCCTTTGCATTTTAACAATAAGAACAATGTGTGTACCTAGATGGCCTTAGGCAAACTAAAGAAAAAACAGTATATATTTTTAAAACATCTCATTCAAGCAAAGTTGTTGCTTAGTTCTATAATATTTCTACATGTATATAAGAATAAGAAGCCTCCAAATATTATCAACAGCTCTCCTGAGGTCTTGCCGACTCAGGGCTGTGGCTTTCTTGGCTGAGTCTATCTATTTGGAATGTGATTTTCCTCTTTTCCTACTGCCCTTCTGCCTTACCAGGCATTATACTCATCCTTCTCTGTTTTGCGGATCTGGAGTCTGCGGTCTGAGTCCTTTGTGGATGGCAAACGATTTGGGACAAAATGGTGGGGGCATGCTACCATTGAAATCAATGGGGCTTGGATATTGTAATTTTCCCAATTCATGGGGTGGTGGTGGTCCAGAATGGATCCCCCATGAATTGGGGGGGGATGACTGTATTGTGTTTTCTACTGAGTTAAAGCCGAAACAGACTGGCTCAAAATGGTGGCTTCCTGGCAGCTTGGAGGTGTGACGTACACACGATGCATGACCTCAAGCTGCCAGGAAATCAGCTTCATGCTGCCCTGCTGCCCACACATGGGCTGGCTCCCAGCGCTCTGACAGCGCAGCATTTTGATGCTACAGGAGTGCTGGGAAGCTCTTGCAGGCCAGGACAAACCGGATCTTTGCAGGCACAAAAAGGAGCGGCAGTTTGCTGCTTCATTTTATTACTGGCAAAAAACTGGATTGGGGCCGCGGCATGCAGTTGCCTCAGCCCCAACCCAGCTCTCTCAGGGGCGGCATCAAGCCATCCCTTTGGGGTGGCCTGTTTCATCCCTCACTCTTCTTATGATATTTCCAAAGTATGACAGTCTCAGTTTAGTCATTTTGGCTTCTAGGCTTGATTTGCTCTACGACCCATTTCTTTAGTCATCCATGGTATCTGTACTACTTATCAGTGAACTCAGCACTGCCTAAGTGGTTTATATTGTGTAAGCCAATTGCTCCAACAAGCTGGGTATTCATTTTACCAATATACGAAAGGATGGAAGGCTGAGTTGACCATGGAGCCTTGCCTAGGATCAAACTCTATAAAAACTAGACTGTCTGTAACCGCCCAGAGGACCTTTTGATAACCGCTCCCAAATTATGGAATGGCCTGCTGGATGAGAT